AATACCGAAGCGCCGGTATGCGATAAGCGAAACTTCGCTACATCGCATAGGGCTGCTACACGCAAAACCAGGCGCGTGCAGGGCTTCAGCTTAACAGCGAGTGCTAGCTATATGAGCTTTTGCGTAAAAGGTATACTCCCTATAGCCCGGGTGTAGGATTCTCGAGGCGTCTGAAATCTGAAAGGTTGAGTCTTAGAATTAGGACGCGAATGATGTGCAACTATGAATGAAAACAGTACAAGTACTAACCCTAATTGGGTTGTACCCCTTATGGGCTACCCCACTGCAGCCTAGATAACATGCATCAGCTATAATGTTCTGACACACCCCCATAGGCAAAGTGGGGGGGAACAAGGGGTCACAAGACCAGTCAAGCAAAGCAAAGCAAAGCAAGCTCAGGGTGGATCACAACGTCACCACACATTCTGAGCACAAGTTCAAGGCCACAAGGCCAGTTCACATGCAGGAGTACATATATATAACAGTGCTAGACAAGCAAGAGCAAGTATATATATATATGTAACAGTACAAGCAAGGTCAAGAGGTGAGCAAGTGAGGTCCAGTGGGCACAAGCCCCAGAAGAGTGCAAAAGCGCTGATGGTCACAAGGCTGAAGCGCCTTGGTGAACACATCAGCAGTGTTGGCCTCAGTGGCCACGTAACGCAGACGAAGCTGACCACGCTGCTGCAACTCTCGAGCAAGGAAGTAGCGCAGAGCGATGTGCTTCGTCCTGTGCTCCAGTCTGTGCTCCTCACACAAGGCAATGGCTGCCTTGTTGTCGACGTACAGCACTGGAGGAGACCGAGGCCGCTCTCCAAGGTCAGTCAGCAGGTAGGTGAGCCAACGTAGCTCCTGAGCAGCCATGGCCGTGGCGTAGATCTCAGCCTCACAACTGGAGCTAAGAACAGAAGAAGAGCGTGTAGAACGCCAAGAAACTGAACCAGAGCCAAGACTGAAGGTGTAACCCTGAGACGACCGCTGAGTAGCCTGGTCGTCAGCCCAAGAAGCGTCTGAGTGCCCAGTGAGAACAACTCGGTCTCGCCCTCCAAGCACTAGCCCCATGCCCGACGTACTGCACAAGTAGCGCAGCACCCTCTTAGCTGCATCCATGTGCTCCTTCCGGTGACGGCCGGGAGCGACATAGCGTGCAAGGATGCTAAGAGGGTATGCAAGGTCAGGTCGAGTGCAGGTCATCAGGTACATGAGGCAGCCCACAAGCTCTGGATACGGGCCACTCGGCTCTACGGACTCATCCGAAGGCAGAGCTGAGAGCGAGTGACCTGTAGGCAGAGGAGTGGACTGAGGCGAGGAGTACGTGAAGCGGAAGCGCTGAAGGACCTGCTGCACCATGTGTGACTGAGTCAGGGTGATGGTGCGGCGTGCTCTGTCCCGGGTGATCCGCAAGCCAAGATAGCTTGTCAGTTCACCCAGGTCTGTGCACGTGTGTCTCTTCTGCAGCTCCGACTTCACGTGGGCGAGTGCCGCAGTGTCCGCAGTGGCAAAGACCAAGTCGTCGACGTACACGAGGATGTAGAACGGCGGCAGCGAGGTGTCGGTGCGTAGAAACAACGACGGGTCAGTAGTAGAGGGAGCGAACCCAAGAGCCGCAAGTGTAGTCCTCAGTGTGTCGTGCCACTCGCGTGGCGCCTGGCGGAGACCGTAGACTGGCCGCCGGAGGCTCCACTGGGTACCAGGAGGGAACGACCCAGTGAAGCCAGGAGGGCGGCGCAGCCAGATCTCCTCGTGCAGGCTGCCCTGTAGGAAAGCAGTGCTGAAGTCAAGAGAGTGGAGCTCGTAGTCACGCTGAGCGGCGACGTGCAGCAGAACCCGAAGAGTGGTCATCTTCGGGGTCGGGGAGAAGGTCTGGAAGAAGTCAACTCCCTGGCGCTGACTGAAGCCACGAGCCACGTAACGCGCCTTGAAGACAGGCGGAGAACCCAGCGGCCGCTTCACCCTGAAAATCCACATGCCACTGACGATGTTCGCCCCAGGTGGGGGAACCTCGTCGACGTAGGTGCCTGTGGACTTCCATGAAGCCATCTCTGCGTCCATAGCTGTCTGCCACTGAGAGGAGTAGGGACCGGCCATCGCCTCTGCGTAAGAGCGTGGGGTCGGGATGTCTGGAGCATCCGGGTCTCCCTTAAGGGCAACAAGCATGGACACGAGATGGGGCAAAGCGGCGGCAAAGCACTGGAACTCCTCCTGCCTGTTCTTGGGGACGTCCGTGCCAAGAGCACACTCACCCCCGACGGACGGAGGACAGATAGACTCAGACTCAGCAACAAGACTCGCGGCGTAGTCTAGACGACAAGCGGCAGCAAAGTCGACCAGCTCAGCAACTAAGGCAGACGCAGCAGCGGACTCAAAGGAAGGGTCAGTGACAACAGTAGCAAGGAGACGCGTGACAGTAGGACTGGCAGCACGGAGAGAGTCCGACTCCGGGTCGGGAAGAGCAGGAAGAGAAGACGCAGGAGGAGAAGGCAAAGGGGCACGCAGAGGAGCAGTGGACGGATGCAGAGACATCCGGTGCGTGCCGGGGACAGGGGGAGGACGCTGACGCGAACCACGACCACTAGTGCGAGCAGCACGGACAGGCGACGCAGGGCGAGACGCAGGCGCACGACGCTCAGCAAGACCTCTAGTAGGAACAGTGTAGGGAGAAGGAGCAGGCAGTGGGGAGGCGGGCTGTAACTGTAACTGCGACGGGACAGGCTGTGGACACTCTAAGGGAGGAGAAGGACCAGTGGAAGATGGGAGACCAAGAACCTGCTGAAGGAGCGGAACGAAGTACGGCCGAGGCCGCGCGGCGACTCCAGACACAGCAGGGACCGCACCAGCACCCCCAGAGGCAGCACCAGCACCAGCAGCAGCTCGAACTCCAGTACCTCCAGCAGCACCAGTAGAACCCCCAGCAGGACCGCATCCGGGACCGACAGCAGTAGCCTCCTCGCCAACACCCGCAGGTTCGGCAGCTCCTGTACTCCCAGTACGAGCACCTCCGGGACCCGTGGCACCAGCTCCCTCAGCAGCCGCGAGGGCGGCGCGACGAAGCCGCGTGGGCGGCGCGACGAGGCCGCGAGGGCGGCGCAACGAGGCCGCGAGGGCGGCTCGACGGAGTCGTGGGGGCGGCGCGACGGGACCGCTAGGGCGACGCGACGGGGCCACGAAGGGCCGAGAGAAGGGAGCGCGACTCGGGGAGGAGCGGGGTGCGCTCCGGGCAGAAAAAAAAGTTTAGATCGAACGGTGGGCCCTAGGAACAGTTCCCACGAGGGAACGTGCTCGATACCATTTTAGAATTAGGACGCGAATGATGTGCAACTATGAATGAAAACAGTACAAGTACTAACCCTAATTGGGTTGTACCCCTTATGGGCTACCCCTCTGCAGCCTAGATAACATGCATCAGCTATAATGTTCTGACACTGAGCAGCGACAAAACAACTTCTCGTTCTCTATGGTTTTACCGTGACCAAAAGAGTTGTCTAACCGTGGGTTTAATATGATGTTCTGGTCTCCTATCATTAGCAGGTGCTCTAAGAGGGGGATCTGGTCTATCAATGGTCCAAGGGAGCCTAATTTGTGAACGAAAGCTGATAGTGTCCAAACTTTTTGTAAAATGCAGTGTTACATCCCGAAATGTGGTACCTGAGCGGATTTATGAACTGCAAATGAACGCGCTGGACACGCCCTGAGTTTCTTGAGTCCCTTGACACACCCTCAACGCCTGCAATTTCTGAATCCATTGCTACACCGTGCACCGAGCGCGGAAGTTTGTTCCGAAATTTGGGTGCAGACTGCGAAGGTGGTTTGGGTGCAGGCTCACACATCGCCTCGGCTCTCAACCACTCACAACTGCTCACAACCATTTTTCACAACGACTCACCATGGGTCATCACGGCTGTATACATGTCTCCTCCCATGTAGATTTTTGTCGTCTAGGTGGGATCAGCATTTCGCACAAATGGTGAAATTATCACATCTAGATTTTTGTGCGAAATGCTGATCCCACAACCGTTGAAACTATCATCTAGGTTGTATTTCGCGAAACTATCACCAACTCGTAATACAACCGTTGAAATTTTAGGTTTCCAGCCGTCACATCATGGTGGCATAATTTCCGACAGTATCAATTGCAAGCCATCGACCTATGTCTACCTAATTCTATTTCTTGCTGCATCGTCTCCTCTCAGCCAGTCACTCCCATTGTGCTTCAGAAACCTCGCGATTTACCCTCGCTGTCAGATAAAATGAGGTCTTCCATCAAGCTCCTTGTCCTGGCAATTCTTGCCGCACTCCTTTTCTCTGCGGGTGAGTTGGTTAGACTAGACAAACAGAAACCGTCACGCTGGCTTCCGACTCACCCCGTCATCGTTCACCACTTCTAGGGTCACCCTTCACAACGGTCCTTGTTGCCTTGGTTGCTGCTATTCCTGTTCTGTTACTTATAGTCGCCCTCCATTTCCCCTTTCAGCTCTCCCGAGTTTGGCTTTGGGCCGTTGCCACGGAAAATTGAGGAAGGTGCTACCAACCGACAAATGTTCGTTCTTAATCAATAAGTTCTACAGAAGGCAGCCTAATCTTTTCGTGAAGTACAACGGCTATAGATGTACTGATCCCCTCAAGGTCGGCTCCACCATCTGTCTGCCATAACAGAGCTAGGTGGATGAAATAAACTTAGGAAGCTGCCTTGCGCTTTATCAACAGTACCAGTTTTCTTCATGGCAGGAGACCCCAGTTTTGTAGCTCTCGATAAGATACCTAAGTCTCCCAGAAGCCTTGATTACCTTGTGGTTCATGACATGGGTGCATGACATACTAATGTACCTTAAGTTCAAATTGTAAGCAAACATACTTCCCCTTTGTGTCACCTGTTGAGAACCTCAACTGAAAGTGCACATTGACACACCCCCTTAGTACCGGTACATGCATCCACGACTCCCACTGAAACACCACAACACTACACACCTTCCAAGGGGTCTCAACAGCTTTCTCTCAATCGTTTATCCCACTGCAGCATCTTGAGGTCCAAGTTTCTCCTCAAGACCCGCTGGGCTCCTCTGAGCCCAGCCAGTTGCGCACAGCGCTGTGTGAAGGGGCATTGCTATTGCTGCCTCTCCCCTCCATGCATTAAAGCCTCTGCTCAGCAGCCTCATCTCAGCAGCCTCAGCAGCCACAGCATGGTGCGTTACTCTGTAACCCCTGGGAGTCATCATCAAGGCCACCTCGGCTTGCCATCCTTCTTCCCCTCCTTGCGTTTCCTCTTCTGCCCGCTTAAGTGCTTTCTGCCCGCCCACCCTTCCTTCCCTGGCCCCTTCTCCTTCTTGCTCCCTCCGCCCTTCCCCTTAGCGCCTCCCTGCTTGCCCCCTGTCCCCATCCCCCATGCAGCCCTCGCCTCGCCACCACCCTTGCGCCACCTCCCCCTTTTCGCTCCACTCCACCCCTCTGCATTCCTCCCCCTCTCACCCTCCCAACCGTTTCCATCCTCCCTGGAATTCGCTCTGCCCCCCCTTCTCCCACCGCCTCCTCCCCATAGCTCCTCCTCTGAATCCTCGTCCTCATCCCAAGCAGACCTCCCCCCTTCGAATTGCTGCCGCTTCCTTCTCTTCCCACCTTGCCCATCTCCCGCTTCCTCCCAACCCCCACGTCTCTTCTCCTTCATCTGCCCTGCCCCCCTCTTGTTCCTCCACCCGCCCTCCTCTTCCTCCTCATACTCACGCCCCCCGGGATTGCCATTGCCATGGCTACCATCATCACTGTCCCAGAACCGCTTGTGCTGTGCTCTCTTTCCTTGCTGCCCCGTTTTCCCCCACTGCCCTCTCTGCCCCTGCTGCCACTTGCCACCTCTCCCGGTGTCAAAGTGGGCGGCAATCATGATACTATCCTTGATACGATCCTCCCCGCTATCATCACTATCATCATACCCCACAAACCTCGTGTCACCCCCATCACCACCACCATCCATCTCCTCCTCTTCATCATCATCATCACTACTCAGCTGAGCCATAGCAAAGCGCTTCTTCCCTCCCCTCCCCCAAATTCCCCCATCTCCCCCACCCCCCTCTGCGTCTCCACTCCCCTCCTCTACCTCATCCTCCTCCTGCGTGCCCCGCCCCCTGCGAAACGACTTGTGGCAGTCCTTGATCAAGTGCCCCGCCTCGCCACACCGGAAGCACCTCCGTCCCTCTGACCCTCTGCCCGCACCCGCTGCCTTCAGCTGACTAGCAGGCGATTTGGCAGCCGCAGCCTTGTATCTGCTGGCGGGGCTGTCTGTAACGAGTTTGAAGGAGTGAAAGCGGCGAGCAGAGGGGCACTCCTGTTAGGGGGTAGGGTAAGGGGGAGAGGGGGATGGGGGACGGAGAGGGAAGGAGAGGGGAACGTGAGAGACGGGAGTGGTGTGTGCACCAAAAGGAGGAGGGGAGGTGCGGATTGAGGGGCGAAAGACAAGAGGGAAACGACGAGGGGATCCTGAGGAGGACGCGTTTGGTGATGCGAGGAGATGCGAGGAGATGCGAGGAGATGCGAGGAGATGCGAGGAGATGCGAGGAGATGGGAGGATATGAGAGGAGATGGGAGGATATGAGAGGATTTGAGAGGATATGTGACGATTTGAGAGGAGATGAGAGGAGATGAGAGGACTGGTTGTGCAGGTGGTGTGAGGGAAAGCATAGCCACCCTCCCCATGCTGCCCCTCATGTCTCAATCCCTCCCCCCCCACCCCCCCCCCCCACCTTCATGCTCCCGCTCACCTCGCCGTGGTGTCCCCTGGCGCCACAGCAGCAGCATGACGGCTTGGGCGGCGGGTCTGCCAGGTCAGCGCACGCCAGGTGGCCCCACTGCAGGCACACGTGGCACTGCACCCTCGCTAGGTCAGCAGGTTCGTACGGCTGCCAGCACTCGCCAAACACGTGCCCCTCACCGCCACACCGCATGCACTCCACTGCCCCACTTCCCCGCCCTTCCCTGTGTGCCCCCTCCCCCTCTCCCTTCGCCCCCTCCTCAACCTCGGCCCTTTTCTCTCCGCCCAGCAGCAGCAGCAGCAGCAGCAGCACTGCCACCATCGCCAGCGGCAGCAACGGTACCGTTCCCACCCCCGCCAGCAGCACCACCATCGGCAGCAGCGCCACCAGCCGCCCCCTGCGCCCTGGTCCACGTGCGGGAGGGGCAGTGCCTGACCACGTGGCCCGGCTGCCCACAGCGCACACACATCACCCTCTCAGGGCACCGCCGCTCCGAATGCCCCAACGCCCCACACACGCAGCACACCCGCCCCTCGCCCTCGCCCGCCTTTCCCCCACTTCCTCCCAATTCCTCCTCCCCCGGCTGCCCGCCCTGGCAGAGGTGGGGGAGGGGCCCGGCAAGCACGAGACCACAGAGGTAGCACTGGTGCTGCCCCTCCGTGGGTGTGAAGTAGCGTGGCAGCCGCAGCAGCCGCCGCATCTCCACGCTCTCCCCGCCTGCCTCGCCTGCTGCTTCCGACTTCCATTGAGGCTCTGATTGGGCCTTCCCCTGGGGGTGCGACTGGTCGCCCTGCAGTTGATTCGCTGCTGCGCCATCACCTGTTGCTCCCTCTGCTCCCTCTGCTCCCTCTGCTCCCTCTGCTCCCTCTGCTCCCTCTGCTCCCTTGCCCTTCGACTTCTTCTTCCTTTTCTTTTTCCTCTCCTGCCCGTCCTCCTGGTTTTCATTCTGACCGCCCTCCAAAGCCGCACTCTGTCCCTCGCCTGCCACTGTTGTCGTCCCCTCCTCGTCTCCTCTCCTCTCTCCGCGTCCTTTCTTCCTCCTCCCCTTGCCAGTCTTCTCCGCCCCTTCCGCTCCCCTCTCCCCATCCCCCTCCCCGGAACCCGTAGCCCCCACTGCTATTTCTCCGCCTGCAGTCGCCCCGCCTGCTCGCCCCTTACCCCCATCGCGAGCCTCCGCCCCTGCATCACTCGCCCCATCCCCGTCCCCTCTGGCCGGTCCGACTGCCCTTGCCTCCTCCACCTTGTCACTCTCCACTTCAACATCCGCCATAGATTGTTCCACGCTGGCCCTTGTCGTTTCCACGTCATCAGCCCTTGCACTTTCCATGTTCATGCCAACTCTCGACTCTTCCACGTCCGTCCTTGTATCGCTTATGTCAGCCCCAGTGTTCTCCACGTCAGCTCTGGCAACGCTAACGTCAGCACGTGCATGCTCCACGTCAGACACTGTGCCACTCTCCTCTAGCGTCAAGTCTATAAATGGACTCGTTAGTGGCATTCTCGCTACAATACGAGCAACTCCGCGCGCCTCCGTTACAACGTGCGTCACGGCAGACCCACGTTCGACATTAGCATCCCTCGTTACAGCATCTTCACGACAATTATCTGCTCCTTTCGCTGCAGCAGCATCGCTGTGCATTACTGTAGCTTCCCTCCCAGCTACATTATCGCCGTCGTGAGTGACTGTAGCAGCCCGATCGGCTGTAGCGCCCAGGTTGGCTGTGTCGCGTTCATTGTCTGTAGCGCGCTCATCGACCGTAGCGCGTTCACTGACTGTGGCGTTCCGATCGGCATCAGCGCGAGACAGGGCGGCTTCGTTCTGCACTACAGGCTCATCGCTCTCGTCGCCTGCAAAACTCCTTGCTGCCCCGTCCACCTCGCCTAAAACCCGCGCTGTTCCGTCCGCTCCGCCTAAAACCCGCGCTGTCCCGTCCGCTCCGCCTAAAACCCGCGCTGTTCCGTCCGCTCCGCCTAAAACCCGCGCTGTTCCGTCCGCTCCGCCTAAAACCCGCGCTGTCCCGTCCGCTCCTCCTAAAACCCGCGCTGTCCCCTCATCCTCACCTAAAGCCCTCGACACAAAGAACAGTCGCTCGTATTGCGGGACGATCGATGGCGGAAGGACCGACGGAAGGGCCGACGGCGGAAGGACGGCGGAAGACCCGGGGGAGGACGGCGGTTTTTCCGCCGTCGGTGCTTGTGCCTGGGTCGCCTTCTCTAGCATCGCCATTCTCGGTCGGCGCGGTCCGACTTGCAATCGGCGAGCGCAAGACGCGTTGCCTAACGAGATCTGCAGAAGCCAGTCGCGATCGCGAGGCGACAGGGAGCGCTCGCGAGCTGCACGACGAGTGGCGAGGTCGCGACACGCGTCGCGGCTGCTGGACAGCGGAGGTCGCACAGCAAGAAGGGTTGCTTGACAGGCCCGACAGTATCGAAGAAAACCCTATGCTAGTTGAGGTGAAGAAAAAACCTATGTGAGGCTCCACGGGGCAAGCGTTGAAGAAAAAGGCGACGGAATGAGGGAAGGAAAAAGAGCAGCAACAGTCCGCCCGCAGAGCGCACAACTTTGGAGGTGGCATGTCAGGTGGATTTCATCGCCTGTTGGTGCCAGGAAACGATCGGTTCGGAACGGACCGAAGCCCGACGAACTTCGCTCTGCAGATTCTTTTGTGGTAACAGTGCAGATTGCCATCTGCTCGGGGTACAGCAGGGTTTGAGAGGCACTTGGCCAAAAACTGGCTGCGGTGTCGCTTCCGGTTTCAAGAACCCAACTCGGTGCACTTCGTTTCATCCACTGTGCCAACCAAAACGTGATGCCGAGTCCGAAGAACCGAGCGCCAGGTCAGACAAGATCGAGGATCCAGAACCCAATGTCGATCCGCCACCGCACTGTATCCACGCGTATCTGTCTCTGCATCTACAAAATCATCCTAAACCTTCCCGCACAGCAATGCGAAACCAGGCTGTGGACTTGCTCGTGAAGAGATTTCAAACATGATTCTCCTCGCGCCTCGGCTTCCTCTGCATCTCCTCCACTGACACGTCACGCTCGCGCTCTTCCCGCCTCTCTTCTGCCCAGCTACGCGTCTTGTTCCGCCGGAGCTCAGCGCAGAGCCCCCCTGACGGCGTCACTCCCCGCTATTCCGCCATTCGCGCTGCTGGCGCCCCCCCCCTAGCGCCGTCATGCGCGGCGTCGCGGCGTTCATGCGCGGCTTCCTCGACTCCGCGCTGCCGCTGCTCGCCCTGCTCGCGCTGCTCTCCGCGCTGCTGCGGTTCCTCCCCCCCCGCGCCTCCGTAAGAGCTTCTCCCCCACCCTTCCATACGAGTTCCTCTCTTGGCCTGCGCAGCTCTCTTGGCCTGCGCAGCTCTCTTTGCCTGCGTGTTCGCCCGCCCTGCTTCCTGCACCTCCTCTGTCCGCCATCTCCCCTGTGCTCCTCTGTCCGCCATCTCCCCTGTGCTCCTCTGTCCGCCATCTCCCCTGTGCTCCTCTGTCCGCCATCTCCCCTGTGCTCCTCTCCGCCCTGCTCGCTCTACTCTCCACCTCCCACTCGTGCCATTCAAATACAGGCACCGTCCAGACACCCGCCCTCCCCTCTTGCTTACGTCTCCTCTGTCTGCTCCCCTTGCCACTAACCCCATTCCCACACCTCCCATGCACCCGCCATGCCATGCGTGGGCAACAGGAGGAGGTGGGGCGGTGGGAGGAGGCGCAGGAGCAGAGCGCCGATGCCGCCACCACCATGCTGCTCGCCGCGCTCCGACGACTCAAGTGTGAGCCTCCTGCCCCCTGCCCCCTTCCCCTTGCGCCCTGCCCCCTGCTTGCGGCGCTCAGACGACTCAAGTGTGAGCCTGTGTGCCGTGCTGCTAGCCTGGTGTTTAGGCGCTCGTGCCTTGAGTCGCGCTCGTGCCTTGAGTCGCGCTCGAGCTAGCCCCTCACCTTCCTGTTCCCCTTGCGAATCACCTTCCTGTTCCCCTTGCGAATCACCTTCCTGTTCCCCTTGCGAATCACCTTCCTGTTCCCCTTGCGAATCCTCGTTCTATATTTCTCATCCACTCATTCCCCTCCACCTTGTATCCCCTCGCCCTCATCCCTACCCTTTCCCCCTCCCATCTCATCCCCTTCCCTTTCCCGTCCCCCTGCCCCTTTCCCTCACCCTTTCCCCTTCCCCCTCCCCATCCTATTCCCCCTCCCCATCCCATTCCTCATCCCCTTCCCCTCCCTCTCCCCCTCCCCCTCCTCCTCCCCCTTCCCCCTTCCCCTTCCGATTGTGTATCCTTAATCCCCCCCGGCCATGCATGTGCATCATGTGTCGCACTCATCCCCCCCGGCCATGCATGTGCATCATGTGGCGCAGTCATCCCATCGGTTCATTCAACGTCCACCATGCATTCCTCACCTCACCCTCCCATGCAGCGGAGCCAGAGAGGCAGCGCCTGGAGAGGGGTCTGCCGGGGTGCGTCCTTTATGCGGACGACCGCCGCCTCACTGCATCCTCGCTAAGAGCTGCTGGCAGTGACTCGTTTGAAGCACATGGGCGCGAGTTCCCCTACTGGCTCGCCACCAAGCTCATCAACCGGTGGGCATTAGTTCGCTGTTGAGTCAACAGGGGGGTGTTGAGTCAACAGGGGGGTGTTGAGTCAACAGGGAGGTGTTGAGTCAACAGGGGGGTGTTGAGTCAACAGGGGGGTGTTGAGTCAACAGGGGGGTGTTGAGTCAACAGGGGGGTGTTGAGTCAACAGGGGGGTGTTGAGTCAACAGGGGGGTGTTGAGTCAACAGGGGGGTGTTGAGTCAACAGGGGGGTGTTGAGTCAACAGGGGGGTGTTGAGTCAACAGGGGGGTGTTGAGTCGAAAAGTGTGTAATAGAATCAAGGGGTGGTATTTTTCCAGTTGATTGTGATCCTCTCTCATGTGGCTCCGCATAGAGCCAGTGTCCCCACAGGTGCCATGGCTGCACTCACCCTGCCGCCCAATCATCCTCTTGCTCGCTCCACGCTGCCACCTCAGCACCAGGCGCTGCGCCTCCTCTTCACTCGCCTTGCTGCTCCGCTGCTCCTGGATCCCCCTCCCTCCGTGGGTTCGTGCATGCCCACAGGGCGTATGCACAGCGCCATGGGTATCGCTTTGTGGAGATGGGCGAGGCTGATAAGGAGCCAGGCAGACACCCCTCCTGGTTCAAGGTGCGGCAGACACCCCTCCTGGTTCAAGGTGCGGCAGACACCCCTCCTGGTTCAAGGTGCGGCAGACACCCCTCCTGGTTCAAGGTGCGGCAGACACCCCTCCTGGTTCAAGGTGCGGCAGACACCCCTCCTGGTTCAAGGTGCGGCAGACACCTCTCCTGGTTCAAGGTGCGGCAGACACCCCTCCTGGTTCAAGGTGCGGCAGACACCCCTCCTGGTTCAAGGTGCGGCAGACACCTCTCCTGGTTCAAGGTGCGGCAGACACCCCTCCTGGTTCAAGGTGCGGCAGACACCCCTCCTGGTTCAAGGTGCGGCAGACACCCCTCCTGGTTCAAGGTGCGGCAGACACCCCTCCTGGTTCAAGGTGCGGCAGACACCCCTCCTGGTTCAAGGTGCGGCAGACACCCCTCCTGGTTCAAGGTGCGGCAGACACCCCTCCTGGGTTCCGCCGCCATCCCAAAAACCGTGTCCTCGCATGTTGGGTTCCGCCTCCATCCCCCGCCGCCCACGCGGCTCTTTCTGCAGGCCTGGCCAGCCCAACTTGTTCTCCACCTCCTGCTGTCTTCCCTGCACGGTAGCTGCCATGCTGCTGCAAGTATTGTCCGACTGGGCTTATCCCCTCATCCCCGCACCCCGTCTCCCCCTCTGCCAGGTGCGCTTCCTGCAGCGCCAGCTGGCGTGCTGCTGCGAGTGGGCGTTCTTCCTTGACTCAGACGCCTACTTCCGCATGGACAACCACCGCCTCTCTGTCCAAAGCTGGGTGGATCGACTCACTCTTCCCGTAAGTCCATGTGCATCACTCACTCCCTTGCCTTCCTCGACTCACACGCCTATTTCGGCATGGACAACCACCGCTTGTCAATCAAAAGCTGGGTGGACCGCCTCACTCTCCCCATAAGGCCTGCCACCTCAGGCGTGCATCAGTCAGGCGCTTGCCTTCCCCGACTCACACGCCTCCTTCCTGAAACCATGCATCCGCGAGGACACCTCACACGTCTCCTTCCTCGACTCACACGCCTCCTTCCGCATGGCCAACCACCGTCTCTCCGTGCAAAGCTGGGTGGACCGTCTCACGCTGCCGGTACGACCAACCTGGGAGGCACACAATCCTACACTGCCCTCCACCTCTCCTTGCCATGCTTTTTTTCCTTCATTCTCTTTCCTTCATTCTCTTTCCTCGTTTCACTTTGACGCTTCAAACATTCTCCGCATGGACAACCACCGCCTCTCTGTGCACTGCTGGGTCGACCGCCTCACCCTTCTCGTGGTGCATGTCTGGATGGGTGAAGGGGAGATACGTCTCCCTCATCAACTCTACGTGCGCTTCGCAACTCTTTTTCCCACCCTCCCCCCCCCCAGCACTACTTTGACTGGATCACCCGTGAGTACAACATCTCGTTGGCCAACCAGACCTGGTTCCCACGGCCCCCCTCCTCCATCTTCTCGCACTCGCCGCCCGCCTGCCCCCCGTCACCCGTGAGGCCCGGGCAGGGTGGGGGAGAGGGCGGGGCAGGAGAGGGGGAGCACGAGGGATGGGTAACGGGAGGGGAGGGGGAGAGCCGGGCGGCGGTGTGTGTGGTGGCGCCGCGGAACGACGATGAGGCGTCGCGGATGGCGGAGGGGCAGGCAGGGGCGCTGTTCAACAGCAGCATGGAGTATGTCAATGCAGGGGTGACATTGTGGCGCCGCTCCCCCCACTGCCTCAAGGTGAGACCTGAGACGTCTCAACACATGGAGAGGGAGTGGGAGGGGGCGCTGTTCAACGGCAGCATGGAGTATGTCAATGCAGGGGTCACTTTGTGGCGCCGCTCCCCCCACTGCCTCAAGGTGAGGTTTGAGACGTCTCAACACGTGGAAAGGAATGCGGGGGGGAGGGGAGGCAGGCGGGGGCGCTGTTCAACAGCAGCATGGAGTATGTCAATGCGGGGGTCACGCTCTGGAGGTGCTCCCCCCACTGCCTCAAGGTTGATAGAAATGGAGCTCAACTGATTGATTAGTAAAGAAGGCACTAGGCCTTAAGTACAAACGAGGTTGGGTTGGGCAAGGCTAGGGAAAGGATGGGATGGGAATCCTAGCAAATCTCCAATTGGTGAGTTGGCAGATTTGCAGGATTACGAGGGAATCCCAACCAGATAGGGTTGGGATTACAAACTACACCCAACCCGCAAATAACCTACGCGATATAGAATATAGTACACAAAGTGTTGACAGCCTAATTCTAACACACCCCCTAGGCTGCAACACATCAGCCACAAGGAGGCCCAACACCCATGGCCGAGAGGAGGCGGTAATGGTCCTCGCGGACAAGCGACTTGGTAAACAAGTCAGCAAGGTTGCAGTCGGGGGCAATGTGTTCAGCCTTCAGCTGCTCGCGTTGCACCAGCTCACGAAGAAAGTAGTGACGGACTTCAATGTGCTTGGTGCGGCCGTGGAAAACGGGGTCCTTGGTGAGATGAAAGGTACTCTCGTTGTCACACCAAAGCGTTGGGGTTGGTTGGGGATACCCCAGTTCTGTCAGCAGGAAGGAGAGCCAACGAGCCTCCTAGGCAGCCATGGTCCCAGCATACAGCTCTGCCTCACAGGTCGACAGTGAGACTGAGGACGACCGAGTGGAGCGCCAACTGACAACCCCACTGCCAAGGGTAAAGCAATACCCTTGGGAAGAGCGCCGATCACTCTGGTCATCAGCATAGGATGAGTCACTGTACCCCTCAAGGCGAACAGGGGTTGAGCCGCCAAGTGTGAGCACATAATCCTGTGTGCCTTTGAGATAGCGAAGAACCCGCTTGGCGGCAGACCAGTGGTGGCGAGTGAAGCGACCAGGTGCAACGTAGCGGGACAGTACACTGACTGGATAGGCCAAGTCTGGTCGAGTGCACATCATTGCGTACATGAGGGATCCCACGAGCTCGGGGTAAGGCTCTGGTGAGGGAACAGAGGGTGCAGTGAGTTGGTGCTGCAGAGAGAGTGGGGTGGGCATTGATGCTGCTTCCTGCATCTTGAACCTCGTCAGAACGTTGTTGATGTAAAACTTCTGCGAGAGGGTGATGATGCGGGCTGTGCGATCACGTGTGATTTCCATTCCCAGATAGTTCGTCAGCTTCCCAAGGTCCTTCATGGCCAGCTTCTCACCAAGTGCGGTTTTGACTGCTGCCAGCTCAGTCTGATCCTTGGTGACAAGGATCATGTCATCGACATAAACCAGGATGAAGAAGCGGGATGGTGTTGCTCGGATGAAGAAGCTGGGGTCAGAGGTGGATGGGTGAAAGTCGAGGGACCCTAAGGTGCTCTTTAGCTTGTTGTGTCATTCCCGGGGAGCTTGCTTGAGGCCATACACTGGCCGATTCAGCTTCCATACAGTGCCTGGTGGAAAAGGAGTTGGAAATCCTTCGGGCCGCTCCATAAAGATTTCCTCTCGAAGGATCCCTTGCAGGAACGTAGAAGACACATCCATGCAGTCAACCGCCATGTCATCTCGAGCAGCGACGTCGAGAAGGGTGCGCAGTGTGGGAGGTTTGGCGGTGGGAGAGAATGTCTCAAAGAAGTCCAGTCCATGCTTTTGGGTAAATCCCTTGGCACAGTACCGAGCTTTGAAGACAGGAAATTCGCCTGGAAGTTGTTTCACCCGAATAACCCATTTTCCCTTCACAATGTTGACGCCGGAGGGAGGAGAGACATCTGTGAAAGTTCCTGTGTGAATGAAGGCCTCACATTTTGTGACAATGGCCCCCAACCACTGAGCGACGTGAGGACCAGAGACTGCTTCAGCATAGGTGAGAGGTGTGGGGATGGAGGGGTTGTCGGAGAAATTGAGGGTGGGAGAGTCTGCGATGTCTGGAAAGAGGAAGTAGACCGCGTGGATGGCTGAGTCGATATCAATCAACTCCTCATGTCTGTCTTCAAGGAGGGAGGGCATGAGAGAATAATCATCCCCGACAGGAGGAGGAGTGAGAGAGACGCGAACGGAAAGGGAGAGCGGTTGTGGAGGTTTGCGAGAGCAGGTGCGAGAAGCAATGGGGGAGGGAGGCGAGGCTGGAGGAGGTGTAGCGGTAGGAGAGGTGGGAGTGGGAGGGAGAGAGAAAACAGGAGCGGGATCAGGGGTAGGAGCAGGGGGAGGAGGAGAAGGGGGAGGAAGAGGAGGAGCTGGGTGACGGCGATGGTAGGTTTGAGAGGAACGGGCTCGAGAGGAGGAGGGGGAGCGAGAGCAGGAGGAGACGCGAGAGGAGATGGAGGAGGGGGAGCGGAGGAGGGAAGGAGCGAGGGAGGCTGGGTGGTGCTGGAGGGGGAAGCGGGGGATGGGGGATCAGAAATGGTGGAGGGAGCGGGAAGAGGAGGAGATGGAGTGTCGGGAAGAGGGAGACTGTCAAAGTCAGCCCAAGTAAGAGTGGGAGGCGGAGGAGAGGGGGATTGGAGGAGGGGTAAAACGGGTGGGACTCATCAAAGTAAACGTCCCGGTTGCGATAGAGCTTGTTGGTGGAAGGATGGAGGAAGAGATAGTCTGGCGAATCTAAGTTGTGCCCGAGGTATACGCACGCGATTGTTTTGGGAGCAAGTTTGCCGCCAGCCGCACGACGGGCTTGGGAGTTGAGGAGGACATAGGAAGTGCACCCCCATACACGAAGAGAGCGGACGGATGGCTTTTGACCCGTCCACAACTCAGCGGGGGTTATGTGGGTGTGATGAGGATGGGGATGGAGATTGTGGAGGGCGGCAGCATGAAGCATGGCGTACCCCCAGAGAGAGGGAGGGGCGGAGGCGTGCGTGAGGAGGCAGCGAGCAATCTGCACCAATGTACGGTTCCGGCTCTCGGCAACACCGTTCTGTTGGGGACTGTCCGGGAGAGTGAAGGTTTGACGGGTACCCTCAGTAGAGCAAATAGCTTTGAGAGTGTTGTTGCGGAATTCACCGCCACCGTCAGAGTGAAGAACCTTGATGGTGGTTTTGAAGTGATTATGAGCCTGCTTGGCCCATTCAATGATGACGCTTGGGGCTTCGGATTTGGAGGAGAGAAGGTGGACAGACACATAGCGGAAATAGTCATCAATGATGACAAGGAAGTAGAAGTGTCCGCTACGAGAACGAACAGGAGCTGGGCCCCAAAGGTCCATGTGCACGCGATCGAGAGGTGCACTGAGGAGATGGACTCAGTGGGGGGATGGGGCTGTTCACGAAGCTTGCTCTGTGCACAGTCAAGGCAAGGCGGCCCTAGGATGGAGGTAGGAGAGGGAAGTGAGGTTGGAAGCCCGTGGAGGAGTTGTTTTGTGGCAAGGTCTGAAAGCGCGCGGAAGCTGATGTGGCCAAGGCGGTGATGAAAGAGGATGGTTTTGTCGGAAAGGAGACGGCAGTGACAGGTGGAGGAGTCTATGGAAGGTAGCTGAAAGTTGCACGCTTGAATGTGAGGCACCACGAGCGTGTATAGGTTGTTGGAGTTGAGGGTGAAGCGGGCTAGATGAATGCTGGTTTTGGCGTTAAAGAGGTCACAGTAGTTGACATCATTGGGAAAGATGGTGATCACTCCTGCTTGTTGGATTTCACTCTGTGCCAGGAGGTTGTGGTGGAGGGTTGGGGCACAGATGCCAATGACTGTGCCTGATGGAAAGGCTGGACAAGGAACTGTGGAGGACCCATGGCATTGGATGGAGAAGCTAGAGTCGGCTCCGAGGAGTGGGATGGGAGTTTGGTAAGGAACGAATGAGGTTTGGTCTTTGAGCACTGTGTGGGTGGCACCACTGTCTAGTATGAACTCGATCCCTTGTGTGTTTGAAACGCCGATGTACTGCGACCCCTTCTCATTAATAATACCAGCACCAGAGAACAACAGGTTGAGGCGAACATCAAATGGGGTGCTATCAACTGACGGATTAGGTTCCTCCACTGCCTCGACCTGGTTCACGCGACGGGGTGGGGCCCAGTTGGGAGAGCGCTTGTTGGTGGAGACACCATGGACGTCGTACCACTCATCATCTCGCTTCTTGAAGCAAGTTGCCTCAGGGTGGTTGGTGCCTCCGCATTTCTGCCCCGCACGTGGACCCTTCCTAATGATGTAGAGGCATGGGGGAAAGGAGTTGCGCTTTGGTCCCTGCTGGGAGCGGAATGGGATTCCAGGGGTGTAGCGCACAACATTGACGGATGCTTGGGCTGCAAGGTCTTTTTCGGCGGAAAGGAGAGCTGATGCGACTTTTTCGAAGGTGAGTTCCTTGGTGGGAAGTTGCTTGAGCATGGAGCTGGTAAGGGCGCGTGTCCTTATACAGTGTTTTGCAAAAGTCGTTTTTTTAGTTGAACTTCTACCGTTTGAATCTAGGTCGACCTAGGCTCGACCATGTAGATTCATTTTGCTGGAGTCGCTGTTCCTCGCTTCACATGTATCACACAGCACGCAAGAGTTCGATTAGCGAAGTTCAACTTTGAACAATAATTACCGAGTCGCGCTAGACTTTCGTAGGTTTCCCGGTTGGGCAGTGCAGTTCGTGACCGTATCCGGCTTCAGTAACCATGTGCGAACGACCTCGTTACTGTCGTGAACAACCTGGGTTTTCGTACGTGCGCGGCAGGACACACGATTGGATAAATGTAAATGTAAAAATTCGAGCGCAGGTCGACTCTAGTTCAGTGTCCAGCTTCCTTCACACATTCTGAACTAGGACACACGACGTCCTCGCGAAAAAATTGGCGAGATTAACGAAGCGGGTTACCAGCAAAAGTTCAACTTTTTTTCCGAACTTCTACACCAAAGGACACGCGCCCTAACATTGTAGGCCGGAGTCAGTCCTACAAGTAGCCTAGCTGCGGGTGCCTGTTCGGGAAAAACAATCCCAATGTCCTTGAGTTCCTCATGGATGTTGCGGACTTCAGAGATGTAATTTGCCATGCCAGGGCATTCCTCAAGGCGGACCTGGAACATTCGAGGATGAGGATGGCAACACCCACTGCTGTCTTGTCATGAAAACGGTCCTGGAGGTACTTCCAAATGGCATGAGCGGAGCGAAAGG